TGGGTTGTGGCACTTCTTCAGCTTTAACATGCGCCACTATCTCCTCAGCTTGTTCTCCTTGCGAAACTAGTTGTCTCCAGGAGCGACACTCTGCCACCCCCATTTGAGCAAGGAGCTGGGTCTGCAGGTTGTGCCTGCAAGTTTCAACCAGAGTTGATTGTCATACCTGAGGGGCATCGTAATACCATGCTGCGGAATCTCTCCACATAGGCCTTGATAGACTCTCCTTTCCTTTGCTTAGTGGCGAGAAGAGTAGGGACTGAGACTTTCGTATCGTCCTCGAAGAACCTGGCCAAGAATAGTCTTTCCAGGTCTACCCATTTCTGGATAGATCCAGCAGGCAGCTTCATGAACCATTCGAAAGCGACACCTTTAAGAGTGCCGATAAACAAGCGCGTCAGGATGGCGTCAATGTGCTGATTTGGCGATCCTGTACCATCGAACGGTTGTAAGGTAGGGGCCTTAAATTTCGGTGGGTAGGGAGCTGTATCCCACTCAGCAGGGTAAGGCCGCACTACTCCCTCTTCGCGGAGCTCGCTTCGGTTGGCGATTGCGTTGAGGCGAGCCTCCAGTTCGTCCACCTTGGTGGATTGAGGGTGCAGTTCTTTTTCCATCTCCCTCTCACCTTCTGAGGAGGATCCTAGTTGATGAGTCTCATGATCCGAATGTTCGGTCGCTTTTTTGCTTTCCCTTTGAAGTTGTTCTCCGGGAAGATTCAGGTTTGTGGCCTTTTTCAGCAAGAAGCTGAGCCAACATATCCTTTAACTGGAGAAGTATCTCCTGCTGTGCCTAGAGCATGACATGATGTTCGTCCACTCTTTTGTCTATGTCTTCATGGTTCCCTGTCGTGTAAGCGGAGACCTCCCGTGCTCCGACAGAGCTTGAAGATTGAGATTCGGCTATTGCCGGATGTTCATCACTTGTTGCAATGCCCTTGGCTAACTTTTGATAGTTAACCGGACGAATCGCTCCTGTCCGAGTCCGAGTATTCTGATATACTCCTTCGAATTGGTCACAAATTTCTCGGACAGTTGGCGGATGACTCTCTTGTGACTCATCGGAGTCAGTATGCGGAGCGTTCCCTCGGCCGATCATATTGATAGTGACCTAAGGGTATTCCGCTTCAGCTGTCTTCTTTCTGTTGCGGCGTTGTCGTTTAGCGGGCCTAACAACGTTCGTCAACCTGTCGAATACGGACTGCCGAGGTGCGGATGCACAACAAGGTCATTCTGACAGAACTGTCGAGATAAGCCTCTCACATTGACATGAGTGAGCTGCTTGTGCTGTTGGTCTTCCTCTCGATAATAATCCCCGCAGATCAGGAACTTGGGAGGAAACTTTCCCCGGGCTTGGAGGTGGAGATGGAACCCCCTGCCCTTGGGTAGGTGAGATTGGTTCTTGTCGAACGTGGATTTTGAAGCCACACTGACTTTTTTGAACCTGACGGACCTCCTGAAGATCGCGTTCTTGAGAAGTAACACGAGGGTCGCGTTGGGATTTGAAAACACTAGGCCGAGGCCTGCGTTTAAATGATGAACCTAACCTCTGAGAGCCAAGTTTTGGTTGAACACGCCCTTGAGGGTCGCGTTTGGTTAGTGAAACAGACTCCTGAGAGTCATGTTTCGTTTGAACGCGCACCTGAGGGTCGCGTTTAATTTGTGAAACAGACTCCTGAGAGTCATGCTTCGTTTGAACGCGCACCTGAGGGTCGCGTTTAATTTGTGAAACAGACTCCTGAGAGTCATGTTTTATTGGAACGCACCCCTGAGGGTCGCGTTTGGTTTTGGCAGCTCCCCGCTGAGGGATGCGTTTTGACTGCACAACGCGCCACTCAGCGTCGCGTTTGAGCTGTATCAGCCGAGGCTCATAGTTGGGCTCGTTGCCACGCAGTGAGCGTTCTTCTTTGGGAA